GTAGAGGTGAGGTCTCACTCTTGCTCAGGCTGATCTTGAACTCCTGAACTCAAGCAATCCACCCCTCTCAGCCTTTCAAAGTGCTTGGGTTACAGGCATGAACCACAGCACCTGGCTTGTATTCTAAACTTCAGCATGGCAGTGTGGCAGACAGCATGAGGTAAGGAAGACGGGGCGTGCAGCCTAGCCCGGTGGCTGTATTCTGCAGCTGAAAGGACTGATAGTTGAAATGGTGAAAGGAGAGTGAGCAGAAGTATTTTAAAGGAGTAATCCACGGGATTTGGTGATGGGCCTTTCTGTGACTCAGTTTACACTGGTTCCCTCCTCACTCACTGGTGTGTTCTTGCCCTTGCAGGAGCCTGTGTGAAGTGCAGCAAAGGGGTGTTTGGGGCCAGCCAGGCCTGCCAGGCCATGGGGAACCTCTACCATGACGCGTGCTTCACCTGTGCAGCCTGCAGTAAGTGTGGGGTGGGGTTGTGGGGGTGGAGTGTGTGCAGACTGACAGAGGGAGAAAGGGAGCAGCATCCTTCCTGGGGACACTTGCCCGCTGCCTCCATGGTCTGCAGAAAGGCAGTATCCTGTAGAGCAGAGTTTCTTACCATCAACAAAAGGCCAGGCAGAGTGAGGTGACTTATCACAAAGTGCCAAAGATTGCCTGTGACTTTGGAGATAAAGTCAGGTAGGTCCAGAGGGCTCAGTAATAATATCTAGTTTGTAATGCATAGCAGAGGTCTCAAGAGAATTAGGGGAAGCTCTGAGGTTTACCACGGCTGCCCTATTGTCAGATACCTCCCCCACTGTGGGGACCAGGCCACCAAAAGTGATTTATCAGTCAGTTACCCCAGTGTGAGATGGGCCACTTTATAACCTTTAACATCCCCCGTCTTTGATTTGGAGGCTGTTGTATGAGCATGAGGTGTGAGTGTGTGCACACCACATGTGTGCTGGTGCCTGTTAGCTCTCGCTCGTGGGCATCTCTGCTCCGGGACACATGTTTTGATTAAAGCAGTAAATCAGGAGACTGAATTGTATTGACGGCAACTGCGCCCAGTGGAAGATTCTGTCACATTGTAAGATGTTTGCCAAGTATGACCAAATCACGAATTGTGCTTGTTTACTGCTTTCTACCAAAGATTAATTTTGAGGAGCATTTTTGGAAAATTTCCTGCTGATACGCTCCAATTTTGTACCATGGCTCGCAGCTCTCAGTGAAAAGGAAGTGTGTTACAGCGAAGTCACAGAGTGTCAGGGACAAAGTGGT